CTACAATCAAGGAGCTTGCACGCAATGCATGCCGAGCCTATTCCACCGCTATGTGCAGATCCGGGATGGAAGTCGTACACATACTGCGGAAAGATTAAAGACAACAATATCCCCTTTCTCCTACCCTAGACAGACTCAATTTTTAACCCTTTCGTTACCTTTAAAACCAAGATGTCTCAAGCACTCGAAGGCAGGTCTCCAGGGACTCCTGCAACTCCTGCACCATTTCACGTAGAAGCACACGCCTCGTTTGGTGTGGCAACCCCATCTCCACGGATCCTGGCAGAATATTTGAGGATTCACAGTGTGTTAACCAAACGAAACAGAATTCGCTCGTGCGGGGAAAGCATTTTTGAACCAACTTAAGCTCTATAAGATCGCGGGGTGGCGGGGGAGTGGGGGCAAAAGTCGGAGGTCTGTGGGGAGGTTCGCAAGCTTTGTAGAGGGCTGCAGAGGGTTTCTGAGGGCGCTGTGCTGTAATCATCGTTCTGTTTGCCTCCGTGCCTTCGTCTCCTTCTCTCACACACACTTAAGACGCACAAACCATCCAGACAAACACATCACTCTATCACAGCGAACCCAGGTTAGCTGGTGATGTCATCACAGATAAAATTTCGCCTTTGTGGGCAACATTTTCGATCACCTAGACGCCAGCGCCTGCTGGGTGTGTGCCCATAGGAAGTTCAAGTGTTTGTGGGGGTTAACCGACACCCACAGGAAAGCAGTCTTTTTATTCGGAGCTCTCTCTCTCTTGAAGATGTGTTCACGGGGCAGTATGGGTGTGCTAATCGTAATATATGCAGTCAGACAGAGTTCTCTGGTTCTAGGACGCCTTATTAATAGGCCGACTGAACATGTCAGGGGTGGCTGAATTTCAGTATGAATAGGTGTAGACATAAAAAGCATTTTAAAATCATTTGTCTCTAAATTTTACAACAGTAATAGTCGTTTTGAATCAGTATTCGTCATTTGCTATTAATTCTGGTGACTTTTAAATGATTTTTACTATTAAAATTCCTCAAGGAAAGGTTAATTTATACAAATGATTTTGAAGTGCTGTTCATTCTTATGCCTTTGCGAGTAAGACTGGGTTAGATGAACCCTGCATCACTTTGTTTTTCATTTCGACTTTGTGGGTCTTGCCCACCAAACATGTGCTCAGATCTTTAAGGTATACGATGCTATTTTATTTTTCTTGTATCAAGGAGAAGAGAAACAATCACTTTCACTACACTATATGACGGGATTTGAGATGCAAATGGAGAAAAATTATAAATATATATTACACCTGAGCTATCAAGTTTTGAACTATAACTTATGAATGATATAGGATGGTGGGGTATTTGCCAGCTCAGACATGCTTGGTGTTTGATATACAGTTTTGTAAGTTCTGAAATTCATTCTCTGCACTTCTAATTTAGAAAGGCTTTTGAAGCATATGTCTGTGAACAGTTCCACTAAAGCATCAGCACGTCAACAGATTGATTTGCCAATGCATTATGCTATTGTTTCAAAGTAAGTACATCAAAAAGGATTGCTTTACTTGCTTTTTGTTCAGAAAAGCATATAGTTGAAGAACGGACACACTTTGTACTGAGGAAAAAGCACTCTAGACAAGTTGAGTGATATTCGTGGTGCAGGGCTCCACTGTAAACAAGTAAACAGCTTTTTCTAAGGCATGACTTTCTAGTTTTATGTAAACAATCCCTGCCAACAGATGCTGGCATTCAGGCCTGATGAAAAATTAATTTAATTTCTTTATCAAAGATAGAAAGTGAAGAAACAGTTTTATTTAGAGTCCACCTATTTTCTGAAAGCCAGGCCTGCCTTTGCCCTCTGGGGATACAGGTTACTAGAAAGGAATCTTTCAAAGACAAGAACATAAGGGGCTAGATTGAAATAGTTGGAGTATGTAAGACCAATTCAAGAACAAGTGTTTTTTCAGAACATAACTTAGAAAAAACAATTTCCTATTGTTTATTCTCCTGTCACAATGGTAATGATTTATTGGAAATGGCAGAGCAAATAATAGATAGATGTACCCAAACACAAAACAGCCAGAGGTTTTTTGATGCATCAAGACTCGTGACTCACAGAGAATATTCTTGCCCCAAGTTTTTTGTTGTAGATTTTGCTGGATATGCGCCTCGGCATTAGCTGGGGTTGTGACCATGTCCACATTATATTTAACAGTTACACTGACATACAGTCTTCTGACCACAATTCACTTTTTTTTGTTATTATATTTTATGTGTGTGTTTGAAATGTTGTAGAGTGTGATGTATTTCCGTACAATAAGATTTAATTATCAACATCAACTGGTTATGATTCTTCTAAGTGAGAGTCATGCTCAGGTATTAAATGGATAAGTTTATTGATGAAATCATTATTATGGGTACTTTGCAGAAAAAAAAAAACACTTTGATCAACCCCCAAACTGCAGTCCTAATTTGATGAACAGAACAAAAATTCCTACAAAACCAAACAGTTCTTGAGCACTTGGATGATCCCTAAAAGTAGACTCAGCTGTCATAATCTCTCTTCATGTGGATAGAGAGAGTGGTGTTTTCAGCCTAGCGTGTAGACTGGAGGCCTGGCATGGTTGTGCACAGAAGCCCAAGCCCTGTTCAGAGAGCACACAGGAAACTCTGGCTGCAAGAAGCAAAGAAGGGAAGCTGGTCTGGCCGCTTTATGCTCCAAATTTTATTCCACCAATCTGGATGTGTGCTACACTCAAAATTAATGTGAGTGAAGACTATCAAAGTTATTCTTGTAACTTACAAAAGAGCCACTGTTTTGTTAGATGCCCCATGAAGGAGGAGAGTTCGGAGGTGATTGACTAACCCTCTGCTTGCGACCCCACTCAGGCTCAGGGAGGTGCTGGGGTCAGACGGGCTCAAGAATCACAGATAGGAAATGAACCAAATTCACATTTGGAGGTTTTAAAAGAAGTATTTGAGACAATTTTTTTCTTTTTCTTTTTTTTTTTCTGGAGACAGATTTTGGGTTGATTTTTGGCACATCTTTTAAAACACCAATTCTTATTTCAGCTGAAACAACTTTTTATACGTATAGCTAAGGCCAGATGGCCGCATGCTCCTTTCTTATTTAGATGAGATTCTTCCTTTCAATAACATCTTTCTTCCTGACCTGCTTAAAAATTCCAGCGAATGAAATCAGCACAGGATTTTCAATTCTAATTGACCATGTGCAGAGGAAGGGCCAGGACAGAAATCAGAGGAGCATTGTGAGCCTCGACTCTGTCTTTGTGCGTTCCCCTTGCTAGCCAACCTAAACTAACTGAAAATGTATAAAAATTTTAACATTCTGCAGTGAGAATTATTTGATTGATTTGATTCTCTCATTTCATGATAGAATCAAAAAAGTTATCATATACTTACACAGTTTGGTTTTCCTGGGTTAAAAAGTACATTAA